GGACAGGTAGGACTATAAAAGGGATCCAAACTGAACTGGACTTTCACTGAAGCAGCAAGATCTTCTGGCTTTGGTGTGCTTCCTGTGCTCTCCTCAACTCTGGTTCTCTGCCTCAACTCCTGAGACATCTCTGGCTAGAGATCAGTCAGAATTTTGTTCCGGTTTGGTTTTGGTAAGAATTTTCCAAGATTTTGCCCTGGCAGGGGAAAAAAGAAATATCAATATATGCAGTCACATGTAGCAATCACCATACTGCTTGTGATTAGGCTACCATTAATTTTTTTAAAAAATCACACTTTCTTGCAGCTGTGGGTCTTCCTCTGCATATAGATGTAGTGAAAAAATACAGCCACAAGTGTGTCCCCATGCATGTCTGTAGAATTTAAAAACCCTGCAATCAACGCACGGGGTAATCTGGCACATTGGTTCATGGACAGGAAACTAGCCATGTGTGACATGAACTTTGCACATTGGCATCAACGGAGGCCTGGTTTCTTTGGTTAGCCCTTCCTGCCCTGGATTCAGGAACCAAATCCCCCTTCCCAGTGTGCCGCCACCCTGACCCCAACTGTGGCCTTACGTACGACACTGGAGAAAAGAAAGAGTTAGTCCTCAGCGACACAATTAGCAGAACATGTTGTACTTCCAAATGCAGATAAAGCCTCAGAATGGGAACATATATGCCAAGTCTGTAGAATTTACATGTTTTCTACAACCACAGCACTTCTCAGCAAAATAGCAGGCTGGGTAACAGAAGCCGCAAAACAGACGGGGCATGCAAACATACATCAATGGGATGACATGTGCACACAAGCAGACAGACCCATAACTCCATTATAGGAATGTCACAGCTCAATGAGTGTCAGTTCCGAAAAGCATTTATGTGTCAGCCGTGGCCGGCTGCCCTTTCCATCTCTTTTCAGAGAGGCTGATCACATGACCCTTCTTTCAGAAATGGGCCCCTGCTCCTGGCCTCGTGTATGCTTTAGTGTCATGGCTAGACTGGTCTTTTGTGTTCTTCGCCTATCAACAAAAGCAAATGTTTGCCACCATCACCCCCTTCCACATCCCTTTCTTCTTTTTCTCCATCCATCCTGGCTCCCTCTTTTCTGCAGTTCATTTTCTCATGGTTCCTAGCAGGTTAATTTTATTCCCAGGTGACTGCTTAAGCACCTGTTCTAACATGTCTTCTAGCAGCTGGTCTTTTCCATCTGGCTGCAGTCCAGTAAATGCCAATATTTTACTGGCACAGAGCTTTCTATTACACTGCTGTTCACAACCCACCCAAAATGACAATGCATCAGTCAGTCCAATCTCTAATGAGATGGTCTTAATAAAGGTGGTTCTAAAAGATCTCCAAGTGTAAGGATGTTTTAGTGGAGACCAAGGCCAAGGTCACTCACACTGTTGTATTCCTGATCACAAAGTATGGGTGTGAAAGATTGAAAGTGAAGAAAGCTGATGGGAAGAGAGTGTATGCATTTGAGACATGGTGCTGAAGGAGAGCGTTGTGAATACACTGAATGGACAGAAAGACAAGAGGGTCAAGATCAGATCAAGGCTTAGCTTGAAGCAGCAATGGAAGCAACCTGAAAGCAACAATGATCAAACTGAAGCTGCTGTACTTTAGGCATATCATGAGAAGACAAGACTTGCTGGAGAAGACAATCATGCTAGGGAAAATCTGAGGCAGAAGAAGAGGAAGACCCAATGTGAGACGGATGGAGTCAATAAAGGGAGATGCAGCCTTGAGTTTACAAAAGCTGAGCAGGGCTGGCAAGGACGGGACATTTTGGAGAGCGTGCATTCAGAGGGTCAATCTTAAATTGGCCTTTGTCTCCAGTGAAATGTCCTTACACTTGATGAGCATTTCCAATTCTTTTATTGCTGGCCTTCCAAATCTCAGTCTTCTAATTTCTTGGCTGTGCATTGAAGCGATATTTGAGTGAGTCAAGGCATGCAAAATCTTTTACAATTTCAATTTCTTCATTGGTGACTTTAATGCTTCTATAGTCATGAGTTTTACTAACATTCAGTTGCACTCCTGCTTTTGCACAGCCTTCTTTTACTTTCATTGGTAATCGTTTCAAGTCATCGCTACTTTCTGCCAGTAAGAAGGTGCCATCTGCATATCTTAAATGACTGATGTATCCTCCATCAATTTTCACTTCTTTCTCTGATCCTTATCAAGCTGTTCTTATTATATATTCTGCATACAGATTTAACAGACAGGGAAATAAAATACATCCTTGTCTGACACCTTTGTGTTTCTCCATATTCTGCTCTACAAGTCGCTTCTTTTCCATGAGAGGTTACCTATCAACCTCAGCCATTTCTTTCAGAACCTTCCATAACTTTTCATAATCCACATAGTCAAAGCTTTGTTGTATTGTATATAGACTGGTCTTCCTCTGAAATTCTTTGGTGTGTTCTAGTAGCCAACATATATTTGCCTCTTCAGAATCCAGCTTAAACATGAGCATTTCTTGCTTCATCTAGGGTAAAATTCTTTATTGCAAGACTTTGGGTGTCACTTTGCTTGCATGGGAAGTTAGTGCAATGGTCCTACTTCAGCTGCACTCCTTAGCATCCCCTTTCTTAGGGACTGCAATGTATAGTGAATGTTTTCTGTCTACGGGGCATTGCTTTGTTTTCTAAATTTGTTGACATATTCTCATTATGTTGCACTGATTCAGGCTCTGTAGCTTGGATCAGTTCTATTGGTATCCTATCTACTCCAGGTGCTTTATTCCTACCAACCTCTTTCACAGGAGCTTTCACTTCACTTTCTAATATTTCAGATTCTTCTTCATAGAACTTTCATTCAAAGGAGTCTGCCATTCTTTTCTCTCTTCCATACAGTTCTTCTGTATTTATTATTTAAAGTTTATTTATTTAAAGTTTTTGTATGCTGTCCCCTTGCTATATAGCTTACTGGCTTGCTACATAGCTAATATATGTTATTTCCACCTTCTCTGCATTTTTTCCTGGACAGATCGTATACTCCCTTGTTGGTCTTTCAACATTCCTACTCTAGACTTGAATGGTCCTTTGATTTCTTGGATCTTCTGGAAAAGGTCTCTCATTTTTCTTCTTTTGTTGTTCTCTTACATTTCTCTACATAGGCCATTGTAATAATTCTCTTTGCCTGTACATGATAGTCACTGAAAATTTGCATTCTGGATTCCGACCTTATTTCAGTCACCTTTTGCATTTGTTTCTCACCCATCCTTAGTAATTGTGTTCTTCTGTTATCCATCTAGGTTTTTCCCCTTTTCCCCTTTTCCTTTTCACTAGAGGAATTGTCTTTTGAGATTCTTTTTGTCTGTGATTTTAGTCTACAGTTCTTCTGGTTTGTGGTCAACTGAGTTCAGTAATGCAAATATGTTCTTTATGTAAACTTGAAATTCCTCAGAAATGTTATCTAAGCTGTGTGTAGGACCTATGCTTCTGTTAGCATTCTTTTTCAGCATTACTTTCATGTTTGTATTTCTTTATAATATATCCTGCCTTTTTTCCTTTGAAGAAACTCAAAGCAGCTTACATCATTCTTCTCCCCCTTTCACTCTTATCCTAACAACAACCCTGTGAGGTAGGTTGGACTAAGAGTCTGTGACTGGCCCAGAGTCTCCCAGTGAGCTCCATGGCTGAGCATGAGTCCCAGTCCTGCATTCTTAACCACTACACCACACTGGCTCATCACAATCTGTTCCTGGTCTTATTTTGGCAGAGAGGATACAGCTTCTCCATCTTCTGCTTCTTGTTTGGGTGTTATATCAATGGTTTCATCATAGACTTGGCAAGTAAGAACATTCAAATGTGGTTTTCCATTGTCTTCTTTTGCTCAGTACTAAGCGGAGTTAGTACTGAGAAAGGTCCTCCAGCAGTGTTGCCTTCAGCTACCGCTCCTACCCCGTAGCTGCCCTTTAGGAGTTTCTCCACCCCAATATTTATTAGATATCCATTCTCACCCTCCTGAAGAGGGTGGATGCCTCTTAGTCTGCTGTCTCCACTTTAAGCAGTCCAACTTGGGAGACCCTGCCAGAAGAGCAACCTAGTGAGAGAGGGATTGTTAAGTTGTGTATTCGAAAGTGGGATTGGCAGGGGCTAACCCATGACTCTTTCCCAAATTGCTAATATCATTTGTCTCTGCATGCAGTTGTGTAATCAAATGCGTGAAAGGGCCATGAGTCTTCATGTATATGTAATTAGAAAGAGAAGAAGGAACTAATCTCTCTCTGGCCACCTGCTAACACTCTCAGAGAAGTCCATCCATCAATCTTTCCTAATCTTTTCCATTGCGTGAGTATCCAGCCTAATCCATAGTCCATTTGGTAGGGACAGTACAGGCAGCCTACCATAAACAAAGGCAGACCTAATGGAAGCTCAATGTATTTTTTGCCTCATCTGATATAAACCTGGTAAGGGATCAGATTGATAAGGCAAGTGGGAAATGAGGGTTTTGGGTTTTGTTTTGTTTGGTTTTGTTTTTTACACTATTAGGGAGTGCTTGTGGATTGAAGAACAGACTTTCATGGGCACATCCTCTAGTCATTCTTGGAATGATGCTTTAGGGACACTCCTGACAGAGACCAATAACTTGGCAGGAGCAGGCCTCCAGGCCCGGAAAATTCCTAGAGCTTCCAAGTGGTGCCATAGCAGTTACTCTAGCTGCTGAGAAGGCAAAAAGACTGACATGCTTGTCAACATATAGAAAAGACTTTCTCCTAACAATAAGTCTCCAGCGATTGTTCCCAGATTGGTATTGCGAGTGATGAATTGTGGGTAATGTCCTTGCAAGATAGTGGAAAGAAATAAAACAGAGTGAAAAATAATCCTCTCCGGTAGAAAATTGTTGTACTTGTGCAACATGAAGCTCTGATGAGCATATTGCAGACAGACAAGATGACTTGCACCATTAATAAAATAACACCCCAAACCCATACCATTACGTTCAATTACTAAATGATTTTTTTCTAAGAGAAATGCTGGATGCCATGTGTGAGACCACAGTTTATAAATGCATAAAGTCAATGTGCAACTAGTAACAAAGCAATTAAATGAGATTTATACAATAACTGCTTGAAGTTTCATACTGGTTCCTTTGATGACATAGGTAGGATATGCACATCTCTTTTTTAATTTTACTATTTCTTTATTGCAGCCCATATAGCTTCAGGAGAACTCTTCTACCATTTCTGTTGCTGTCTGGTAAAGAATAAGAAATAATAAAACATTATTAACAATCTTTTTAACAAATGTCAAGGCTTTCAATGATCATTATAGTGAAATTGTGTGTGAGGGGTCTTTTTAATGACGGCACATATTGCATCTGTAAGGATTGCTAAGTGCTTCGAGCATTTAGGAAAAGCAGTGCAAGAATTTAGCATGTTGGAGTGGACAGGACCATAGACTTGGACTTGGCCAGGGAACTTTGAGCTTCAGATTCATGAAGCTCAATGAATGACTCTTGATCAGGAGGTCCTTCCACGTAACCCATCTCTCTGGGTTGCTGGAAGGAGAAAATGGAATGACCCCCATGTTCCTTGCACGGACCACCATGGTAGGTGAGGAGCACATTCCTCTGGGATAAGAAACCTATAACCCTCCAGAAGTTGTTAGACTCAACTCTCAGGACAACCAATGGTTAAGAATGGTGGGAGTTATAATCCAAGCTGGGGGACCAGAGGTCTCTCATCTTTGATATATACCTAAAGGAACTGCTAGCTGTTTTGAAAAACATATAGTTCTGAGATTGTTCCTTTAGTCAGAGTCTTGCATGCCTGCTTCACAAATATTTTGCATTTGATTCACTTGTAAATTCTACCATCAGATATCTCTGAACAATGCCAAGCACATGTTTCTTGGATCCTAGCGCCTACTATGCACACTAGATCCTTATGCATAGTAGAGATGCATTATTAATTTTTTCTTGGTCTGTAAATCACCCAATCCATATTTCCTTGAACGGAACACAATTTGTAATCAGAAATCCACACATTTAAGCACTTACAATCTTGTCCATGAGCAAAAATACGTTTTTAACACGTGTTTGGAAAAATAGGTTTGTCCACAAAATGCACATAAACACATTTTAACTAATGGGAAATAAGTGTACCTTTTTCAAAAATATCCACTCAAAATGCATATATTTAGAAGCATGAGTACAAAACTATGGACAAATTTCCGTAAAAGAAATAAAACACACCTCTCCAGTGTACCTGAGTCAGAGCAAAGCTCAAGGTGGGAAATAATTTGCAGAGGCTCACAGCACATTGCTGTGTATGGATTTGAGTATGTTTGTGAGTAACTAGGACTGCATGGGCTGGCTTTTGAAGAGGAATGACTGCTGGGACAAGAGAACACCTCATGTCCTAGGTACATGAGACCTGTGCAGATCTGGCCACACTTTTGTTTGTTTGTTTGGTCCTGGGTAAATTACGACTGTCTTACTATAAGTACGCCTGCTTAAAATCATCAAGAAATGACCATGGTATCTCTCCTGTTTTTCGTTCTCACATTTGCCACTTCCTCACTTCTTCCCTTTTAGAACTGTAGCCATGCACTGGATAGCTGATGGAAACAAAGGGGTCTTCTTCCCGGCTAGCCGACGAGTGGCTGAACCGCCTCTTTGAATTTCTCAACAGTGCAAAGACTGGCTGGGCTTGCACAAGTGGTTAAACCCCTTGCAAATTTTAACCATACACCATGGTTAAAATTCCTCTGTGAATGACAGATGATCAGGCACAGCAGGACTTGTGTGACTTTTCCTCTTTCCTCTTCCTCTTGTGTGGCTTTTCCTCTTTTCTCTTCCCCCCTCTTCCCCTCCAATCCTCCAGCACTGCAGGAGCACTGTGATGTCCCATGAGCTGAGGCAAGCCATTTCATGCTAGCCATGGCTTGCTTTAAAAAGATGTAGCCCACTGCTAACTATTTTTAAAAGCTGGGAACATGTGGAGAGCAGCAGAATCCTCCAGATGTTTGAGGCAGTCTCCTGTGGCTGTGAGCAGTTTCATGTGGCAAGCTACTCTTCCACTCCTGCCAAGGGGCTCACTGGGCTTTGAACTTCGTACGGGCTTCATGTGTTCTCTGCGTTCAGATTGTGCAGTAACCCACTGGGGGCGCTTTAATCCACAGTATGCCATGGCTAGTCGGGATGGCTTCTAAACCATCCTTTTGGGGAAGTGCTAGATTCAGGCAACATATTAAACCACTGCGGCTTGATGTGTTGTGTGAACCCAGTCAGTGGCTTTAAATGTGTCTATGTCTTTGAAGCCTTTGGTACCATTTTTCAGTCAGGAAGTGACACACATCCCTAACCAGCACATAAACTGGCAGCCAAGATTTATTTATTTATTTAAAACAGGTGGGGTTTTTTTCACCATCTTTACCTGAAACAGGTCTCAAGATGTAAGTGCCCAAGTAAGACGGATGTAACTTTGCCACATCAAACGGATGGCTAGTCTAACCTGTGCAAAAACAGGTCCGTTTGCCAGCTGCAAATGGAATCACACAGCAGATTCTCCAACAGCTCACATCATAAAGCTTTGAACAAGGATTCAGAAGAGGATGGTTTTAATGGGGTGTGCACATTACATACATTGCATATCAGATGATGTATTTATGTGACTGGGCAATAGTACTTGTAATGCATAAATCATTAAAAACTTACGAATATTCTAGCATTTTTGTACTTGAAAAAACACATACTTAGCTCCAATACATGCATAATACTGGCCAATAGATCAAGCAACCTGTGATGTTATCTCTGTGTGGTAGCAAACCACTCAAACTAGCAAATAACCATGTACTTTTTAAAAAAGTGATCATGTTTCTAGAACAGTAGCCTCCTGTGGAAGGCCATAACCCAGGTACTACCACCTGTTTAGATAAAAAGTAAGACCATAGTAAAGGGAGGGGCATTTTATATTTATTTATGAGGAAAAAATTAGATTCCCTAGAAACAGAGCTTTTTTTTTTTGGCATCCTGGGCACATTTATCAATGTGAACACCTTTCTGTTATATCCCTTGTTTATTTTCTGTTTCTTCTAGTAAAGTTTTTTTTTATCTCTTCCCACTGAAAAAAAAATTCCCTGATAAAACTTCTGGGTCTGCTTGGCCTACTTTAGGCTAAAAATAGCATTTTCTGCTGCTGCTTCCTCCTTTAAGTGACACAAGACCACCCACATGCAGAAAAAAAGGCTGTTCCCTTGCTGAATTTCTTGAAATGACGAGTAAGGAAACTCCAAGTCCATTGGGACTCACAAGGCTCACATTCTTCCTTTTCTTTTTAATGATTGTATTAATTGTCCAAGTCCAAACAAGCAAACAAAAACAGAATAAAACCATCTACCTGATTTTTCCATTTCATTTCCTTTTAACAGAGGTGGTACAGAATGCAAGTTGTTCAAGAAGCAGAATAGAGATCTGTAAAAGGAAGCTGGAAATAGAAATCAAAGCATTTCAGGGCTGTAGAGTAAGGTGTACCAAAATATGGGGAGGGGGTGTCTATCCTCTGTTGATTTTAGAAGTGCCATTTGTTTCTGTTGATGGGGGGGAATAAGGCAAAGCCAGAGTGGAAGATGAGGGGTCAAGGTGGATCTGGAATTGCCTCTAGCAGGCCATGAGCACCACTTGGTGGGTCCAACTGGGCTATCAGCAGGGAGAGCAAGGTAGCCCAAATCTGCAGGTTGTTTTGAGGAGTCATGAAAGGGCTTCCAATTGTGTTTTACTCAGCTGGTGCACCTTAGCTCTGGAAAGAGCTGTGGTATGGTCCTGAAGGAACTAGGCCTGCTGTGAGGTTCTGTTTCCTTCAGGACTATCCCATGGCACTTTCAGGAACTAGGGTGCTCCACCTTAATTCTGCCTTGCCTTCTGGCAGGAAGTCAGAGGGTTAATTAAACAAATGCAGAGGAAGTTGCTAGTGTACCAATGTCTTACCCTTGCATTTATACCAAAGCGGGGTAAGGAGACACTTCATTACTTGTAATATGTTTACACCACGTAATATAACAACTTCTCAGAGGTTCACTGTTGCGAGATTTTATGCCTCAGGAGACCAGCTTTGGGCACGGTGCCTCCTGTCACAGAGGAAGGGGAGCCATTTGCAGCTCTGCCTCCAGGAGCAAAATGTCCCGTTCTGTGCTGAAGCCTGGTTGAATTGAGGGTGTGTGGGCCTTTTCAACACAGCACCAGAAAACTGACAGAACATATATTATGAGAGCACTGAAGGGGTGGCCAACTTGTGGCTCTCCATATGTTTTGGCCTAGAGCTCCCATCCTCCCTGGCCAGCATGGCCACTGGTGAGGGATGCTGGGAAGTGTAGGCCAAAACATCTGGAGGGACAAAAGTACTCTCCCCCGCCCCCATGTAACAAGTTAAAAATATGGATTGGGTGGGAGTGAGTGAGTGCTTTCTTTAGCAATATCCCGTCGCCCTTTCTGAAACTGAATCCTCTAGTCAAAAGGAAATGTGTTGGAAAAGGATTGCAGGTGGAGACTTTTCTCTGCTTCTTCCAGGCACTCTTTCTTTCTTTTTTCTTTAGATGTTCGGATCCAGCGCCAGGTCTATGCAAAACATTCAGTAGTTAATACTGACATTGTGGCATCTCTTAAAGTAATCCACTTCCAACATAATAGCAAGATTGTATGTGGGTTGTGGGCAGATTTGTCTCTGACATGAAGATAATGCACATGGTGGGTAATTACCTTGCAGATCATCTAGGCCTGTAAATAAAGTATAAGAGAAATGCTGAATGTGGACCAGATTCTGTCCCTTTAAGATACTCCTCCTTAACAAGACATCCTTATGCTCCTTAACAAGACATCAACCTATGGGGTGGGGTGTCAGGATCGAAGCGAGCTTTGAACAAAGAATAAAGCAAAGGAAGATTTCAAGTAATTTTGAAATAAATAAATTTATAAAATATATAATTTATAGAAATAATAAGAATCTTGGAAGTCCCTCACACCAGACTGGTCCCTTAGCTCAGTATCACCTCCAGGTCTTTTAGGGTTCTTGGGCAAGACACAGTCAACAGGCTCCCCTCAGTGGGTCCGCCTTCTCCCCATCTCTCCTGCTCTTCATCCTCTTCTCATCATCACTACTGCTTGCTGGCTTGACAGGCAGAGGGTCAGGGACCAAGCAGGCCATGCCATCTGCTATGCCTCCTCCTCACTGCCATGAGTGCCTGGGGCAAAGCAAGATGGTCAGCAGCTGATCGGGCAGAATGCAATGGAGAAGAGGAGCAACTCCAAAGGTTCCTGTTGGTAGCTCCCAGCTGCAGCATGGGCTCTCAGCAGGTGCCCAGTCGTGCCTGCTTTCGATGGCAAGGGCCTTGACCAGCCGTTTTTGGAAATAGCAAGTACAGACCCTTTTGCACATGAGCTCTGCGCTCCCCCACTGAGCTATACCCTTCCTCAACATGAAGGCGCCCACGTAAGTCTCCAAGCAGTAACAACGGTAGGGTCATTCCACATGTAGGACATTCAGGTTGAATGTTGCAAGCATTCCAAATGCCTCACATGCTTCGGGACTCTACTGTTTGTGAGCGCTGGGCTGAACGCGCGCCACCACCAGCCATGTATGGCAATCTACCAGGGCTTTGATAAACCCCCCGTTTTTGCTGCCAGAGCTCTTTATATGGCAACACTTGGAGCACAGAAAGAGCAGCCTGCAATTTCTGAGGACAGGACAGAGTACAACTCATGTTTCCTACACACTTCATCTATTGAACCTTCACACCGTAATTCTTTCAGTGCTCAAGACTCCGACGCAGGTAAGGTACTCCCAACAGCTTGGGCTATTACAACGTTGTTTGTGTGCACATGTCTGAACTATTTTAGAAAATGAGAAAGCAAGTTCTTCTTCTTATATTAGGGCATTACAGGGATATCCCACCTTTCTTGCTCTTGCAAGGGACCCAGGACAGCTTGCAGGGCTCCACGTTATCCTCACAACAATAATCCTGTGAGGTAGGTTAGACTGAGAGGCCATGACTGGCCAGAGTCACCCAGGGAGATTCATGGCTGAGTGGAAACTAGATCCCGGATCTCCCAAGTCGTATTGCAACACTCTAACCCCCGTGCTACGCTGGCTGTAGTATATATCAAAGTCACTGAAAAGGAACACATTTGCAACAGCCATTTTTCTCCTCCCTGGCTGGCACCATGAATGAACAAAACCCTCCCAGGCACAAAATTGGATCTGTTTCCCCTAGCTTCTCCCATCATTGATGAAGCCCCATGCTCCACAGAGCTGTATGGGAACTGTGTTTTCATACAAGCCTTATAAATTGCTGCTATGCTTCAGCTGACTCCATTCCTCCAATGTAGCTGGGGTATGAGGGAGGATTTGATGCTCTTCAGTGATTCCAATGGGATTTTTATTTATTAATTAAAATATGTTTAAACTGCCCTTCATCAGTATGGATACCAGGGCAGTGTACAGTCTACATGATCATAAATAATCATAGAACATACTATCTATATAATAAAAGAAAGTGTCTGTCAGTGTCTTATTCCAGGACTATGAAACCTAGACATTGAAATTTGCACTTTTACTAAGCACACATGAGGGGTGTGACCCTCAAGCTCATTTTGTTTTTAATGCACACAGATTGAGTTTAATTAATGCAAATATATTTCAGTCTGAATCCTGTAGTACTATCTTCAGCCATTAGGTGGCAGATGTCCCTAACCAGTGCATTCGATACAATCAGAAGCTGAGCGCTCCAAGGAAGAGTTAACAGACTGTCCCTTCCCCATTGCTGTGGCAATGTGTTGGACAGACCCTCCATTTACTGGTATACAATGAAACCACTACCATTAATAGGCCTATGTACAGAACTCACTACCTTTTTTGCAGGCATAACTCGGGATTGTTGAGGCGGGATAAGTGCAACTCTGGATATTTTGTACCTTTGCACCTATATAAGGTTACACCAGGGTAGCATTCAGCCAGTGCAACAGTATAACTACAATGCCATATATTCATCATCAGCATACTTCTCCACTCTGCCAGGAACACTAAATTCTACCAGTACAAGAATATCTGTTCTTTATTTTTATTGATTATATTTATACCCCATCTTTTGTCCTTTCAAGGAACTCAAGGTGGCTTACATAATTCTCCTCCTCTACTCAATCTTTTCCTCAAAACAACAACCCTGTAAGGTAAGTTGGACTGAGAGTCTGTGTCTGGCCCAAAGTCACCCAGGGGGCTCCATGGGTGAGCTGGGACTGAGCCTGAGTCCCAGACCTGTGCTCTTAACCACTACACTGCATTGGCACTCAGAGCAATCTGCCAGCTGAGAGGTTACAGAATATGGCAACGGCCTGCTATGCTGGGGGAATGCAAGATAGATTGCTGCCACAATAGCTGTCCCGGGAAATAGAACAGCTAAAGGGGAAGAGGGCCTTGGGAGAAGGGTTGCAATGTCCGAAAGCTGTCATTTTACCACTGGTGGCCAATCTAAACTGCATAGCAAATCTTTACACGTATGAAAGATAAAAAGACTATCCATGTGTCAACCACAATACAATCTGGAACCTCGGTGTAGCATAGATTAGTCTACCCTCTTGCAAAAAGGAAACATTTGCAAAAGTTCCATATTTCAAACCCCACAATCTGGCATTCCCCAGAGAATTGAGATAGGTGCAGTATAAAAGCTGGCAAGATCTTATACTCCCCAGGAGTGGGGAGCACTTATTGAAGGATCCCAGATTTTGCCTGTAAGAAAGTTAAGGAGAATGGTTCCTCTGGGAATGACCTTCCAATTCAGGCTTCCCTCCATACACCCCCACTTTTGGCCTTAATTCTGCCCCACCCCCTAATAGAAATCTACCTCCATCTGATGTCGGCCAGATGTGTTGCCCTACAACTCCCAGCATGGCTGGCTGAGGATGCTGGGAGTTGTAATCCGGCATATCCGAGGGCGCCAAGTTGGGAAAGCCTGGAATCTATAGAAAGGTGTCCTCTAGATCTAGGGAGAGCAAGAACCACGACCCTAGAGATCCGCTGGCCAGAGCTTACAATTCTGGAAACTGCCAGAGAAGAGAATAGCACACCCGTTCGCCCCGCGCCTCCGCCCCTACCTCGCCGAATTAAGCCAGGGGGAAGAAGGGACGTCCATTAGGCAGCACTATAGTTTACATGCGTGCTGCGTGCGGAGAGAAAAGGCGTGCATCAGGATCAAGCGGGATGGAAAGGGGAATCCTGGAGGCAGGTGAGGAGAGCGCGCGTCGCTCGATGACACAAAAGGGCGGGAGGGAAGCGCCCGAGGTTTCTCCAAGGGGAAGCGCGAGAGAAAGGTGGAGGGGCGCAGAAAAGACCCTTCAGCCTCGCCGCCACGCCTCCTTTCCCTATAGGGCAGCTCCGTTCCAGCTTCCAGGACAAACAGGAGGTGGAAAGCGCGAGGGAGCTTCTCCGCACGCCTGAGCGAGCGCTTAGTGTCCCCTGCCTTGCGCCTGCGCGATCCCCCCCTCCCCCCCCCGCACACCGTGAATCCCCACCTCCCATCATCATCTTCCTCTCCCGTTATTTCTCCTTCTGTGAAGCGGAGAGAAGATCCTAGACCTTGTGGAGGAGGAGGAGGAGGATCAGGAAGGAAGGAAAGAAGGAAGGAAGAGCTTTCCAAGAACACTCCAAAATCAGACTCTTCCTCCCTTATATACTTGCATCTACATGCATCTCTATAAAAATCAGATACCATCATGTACTGGATGGAGATGGTGTCTCCTGGCGGCAGCCTGAGTGGATATTGCTACTCCTAGCTTGGATAGCGGTGCTGAAGCAAGACGGGAGCTGGGAGCTGGAGAAGAGGAGCCGGGAGGTGAGGCAAAGGACTCTCGGGGTGTTGCTCGCCTCTGCGGGGAGTGGGAGGGCCACTGGCACTGAGGCGGGGGCTGCTGCTGCTGCTGCTGCTCCTCCGGGAACCTCGGAGCACCGACTCTGGATTGATCGGAACGGGGAGGAGAAGGCTTACGGAGGCAGATTGCCGGGAAGGGGGACGATGCAAGGCTGGATTTTAAAGTAGGAGCTGCGGGGAGGTGGGGGAGGATGTTTAGTCCCACCAGGAAACTTTTATTTATTTATTTGCCGCTCCAGTCCACGCAGGGAGCAAGGTGGGCGATGCGAAGAGTACTTCTTAACGCCTGCAAAGGAACTAGAGATTTTTTTTTAAAAAAGAAATCATTTAAAAAATAGAGGGGACAGCATGGGATTGCGTGGGTGTGTATATAGCGCACCCGGGATGCACGGACGTGTTTGCCATGCGCCATCTGCAGTTGTGGATCTGTCTGGATTTCAGGGTGCCTTTCGCAAGGCATGTGTGTGCGTGAGCGTAGCAACCTGCAGTTGCGGGCTGCATGTGCTTGGCTTTGTATGTAAGGGTCATGCGTGTTACTTTCTGCTTTTCAGTTTGGGTGGATGAGTGTATCTGGGAGCTTGTGTGCGCAGTTGGATTTCTTTGTGTGCGCAGTTGGACTCCTCGTTTGTGATCTTTTCAGGGGAGACAATTGCACCCATAGAAAGATTTTGCATGAAAAGGGGCAGGAAACCTCGAAGTATATGAGAACATATGGAGAGCATTAAATATAATGCCATATGCTGTCTGTAAGGGAAGCATTTGGGCTGGAGAGGTCCATTTAAATAAAGTTTTGTTGCGTATGATTTTTTTGGAGTTGGGTTTGCGTGTTCCTAGATGCTGCTATGAGCAGGTTGGAACCTCTGTCATTGTGAGCAGGTCTGTTGTTCTCTTTCAGTGACATTATGCAGTTTCCTTTTGGGAGGTCTGCATGCAACTGTGATAAGAGATTCTCCCCCACCTTCTTCTTCTGATCTACCGTCACCCGAAGGACTCCACCCTGATGTCACTAGCTAATGAAAAATGACTTATGTGGGACTGGGTGTGAGGTGGGTATGGGAAGAACTGAGCATTGCCGTTCCTTGCTCTTTTGGAGGTGCCTTGCTAGGCGTGTGCTATGGTCAGTCAGCCAAGGTGAAGTTCAGGGCATTGATGGACACTGGGAAGGACTTTGTTGCTTAGATGCCCGCTTGAAAACCTGCTCCCAAATAAGAAAGGAGGTAGAAGGTAAAATGTGGATATATGTAGCAGAACTATATGATTGCTTGTTAGATTTTAGGAAACATTTCCAGTTGGCTTCCCCCCCCCCCTTTTGGATGCATGCCAAGAGGAATGGTGAGTCCTGAATAATTCCGCTTCACCTTTTATGTTCCCATGGAGAAGAACATCCTTTAAAAAAGCAAGCTGCGATTTCCCAAGCACTAGAGCATCATTCCTGGAATGAGTGATGTTACGGTGCAAGGTAGCCTGGAAGTGGATGTCCTCTGAGCTGGTGGTTCTTCCTCTTAATTGCAGTTAATGGGAACTCGTTAGGGTTGCAAAGTGGTGAAGGCAAAGAATGCTCTTGTTTCTTCCTGGATGCTGAAAACAGATTGGGAGGGTAACCCTGGTCTCAGATGAAGTCCTAGCGAATATTTTATTACAGACTTGCTCTGCTTGGAAATTCCTGGGTTTTTTCTTCGCCAGTGCTGGTTGAGTCAAGGCCTGTTTTCACATAATTCAGAAGGAAATGTTGGAGTGCCAATGAAAGTATGTCTCAGAAGGCTAATCTTGATTCTTTCATGAGTGCGTCTGCCTGATAAAAGGGCTTGAAAACACAAGCTTGCTCCCACTTTGTGTTCATGCTGTCTCATTTCAAGCAAAGCCTCTTGGGTGTGAATCTAAAATACAGAATATACAAATCAGCCTTACAATTTTGGCATCACAGAATGATCCAAGTAACCCAGGAGAAGTAATGCAGATTGTTCCCAAATCTAGAGTGAATATTCCCATCCTTTCAAACTAAAATAGAGGATTAGCTGCACGCTTTTACTAGTTCCTCCAACGTGTGGGATTTCCTTCCAGCATGTGAATGGCAAATGAGGGGCTGCTTTAGTTGCACTGAGACTTTCTGGGCACTGCAGAGGTAAAATGGTTGGTGCAGAAGCTGCAAACATTGGATCAGCCGCACTGGATCAAACCAAGGGTCCATCTACTCCAGGATTCTGTCCATACCGTGGGGAATCAGCTGCTTGTGGGAAGTCCGCACATGGGGCACAAGTACACCAGCATGCTTCTGGCTGTGCTCACCAGCAGCTGTTGCACACTGGCATTCAGCCCCTGCCACTGGTGATGATTAGCACAACTAGTGGACATTCATAGCCTTATTATCCAAGAATTTGTCCAATTTCCCTTTGAAGCCATCCAAATTGGTGGCCATCACTACACCCTGTGGTAGCAGATCCCATAGTTTACCTATACACGCTGCAAACAAACACTTTGTTTTGTCCTTTTTTAAAATGTATTTTGCAAGCCACTGTTGCCTAGTGGTTAGAGCTTTGGATGGGAGTCCTGGAATCCTTGACTGTGCAGGGATGCTCACTTGGCCATGAAAGCCACTGGATGACTATGGGCCAGTCACTCACTTTCAGCCTAATCTACCTCACAGGGTTGTTGTGAGGTTAAAATGGAGCTCAATGAGCTTCCCTGGGCTCCTCGCAAGAGTAAAAAAGTGGGATGTAAAAGCAATGTGGTATTATCTGTCCTGAATCTAAAGTTGCCACAAGATGGTGATGGCAGGGTTGCGGGAAGTACACATGAAAACACTTATCCTTTCGCTGTACCTGACTTGTGGCAGGTGAGATTATTTCTTGGCCCAAAAGCAGTTCTCTGTGAATGACATCAGTACTGCTACTGAGATTAGGACCTTAAAAGTTGTACTCCCTCAGAAAGGGGTTGTGCCAAAGATAAGAACACCCTCAGTGGCTGGAGTAACTGTGTTGGCTACTTCCACCAAGTGAGAACGTTCAATTCCAATCAAAATGCAAGGTTGGTTTGAGAGCCAGTGTGGTGTAGTGGTGAAGAGCATGGGACTGGGACTCAGGCGATCTGGGTTCTAGTCCCCGCTCGGCCATGGAGCCAACTGGGTGACTTTGGGCCAGTCACAGACTCTCAGCCCAACCTACCTCGCAGGGTTGTTGTTGTGGAGATAAGATGGAGGAGGAGAATGATGTAAGCTGCCTTGAGCCCTTTGTAGGAAAAAGGCAGGGTATAAATAATAAAAAAAACTTGGCTCAAAATGGACGGTTCATATGGTAAGTGTCATGTGGAGGGCAACAGGCCTGGATGGATGGATTCTCGGGAGTCAATACTTTGACTGCTGGTGGTGTCTTAACCTTTGTTCTGTCTTTCTGCTCCTCTGATTTGTGCTGGAGACTATACTGCACTGAGATAAATTATACTTCCAGCTTCCAAGATTTGAAATACCTTTTTAACTATAGGATGTCAGATACAGTTCTGTGGAAAAGAACAGGCGTCTGTCTTGCTTTGACTAAAGGTTGGAAAGAGTTCACATTTGCTTGTGGAGGTGTGGGTTTGCCTTGTTTGAGAGAGCTGATGTACAATTACTTGATGCAAGGATGTCTCAACCCAGAGACTAAATGAGACCTATTTTCTCAGTAACAAGCTCTCGGGGCAATAGGGAAGAAGGGAAAAACTCCCTTCTTCTCTTGTGCTCACTTGTCACACAGAAAAAAGGAGTACTATATAACTCAGTCTGCTGCATCGCTCACGTGCAGCATGAATGAAAGGATATAAAGACAGCACTGGAGTTCCAGAATCCTTTTGACTCTGAAAACATGACGTGGATCGGCCAGGCCTTTTCAGTGGCTATACCAATACTGTGAAACACGGTGTTGGCTGGTTGCTGAAGGCATTTCTCTTCTGGGAGGCTTTTGCCTGTGAACTGTTTATTTTATTCAGATGTTTTATTTATGATCTCTGCCTCTGTATTGTGGCATGCTTGGAGCCTCCAGCAGGGAGGAGAATTTGGGGAAGTCTCGTTGCATGATTACATGTAAGCCACTCTTGAAGCCTTCCCAGCTGAGGAGCAGAATGAAGACGCTAGCTGCAAAGCTTACAATCTTGAAAAGAAAAGATCCAGCAGAACTTACAATATTAAAAAAGAGGTGATGACACATAAGGAAAAAAAATGGGGAGGGAAGAGGAAAATAAGTCTTCAGGCAGAGCTTCAGGAATGGTTCTGCTTTCCTCTCCCTTCAGTGCTGTGCTTGAATGGCTGTTGGTGACTGTATGGATTAATTGCCATACTAAGTACTCCACAGAGTACTTTTCTAAGTGGTACCTTATTCTGGAGCATCCCGCTGTGGAAATATACCCACCTTGCTCCCCTCCTTAGTTTTTTCTGTAACATTTCCACAAGTACAGAACATGATGTTGGCTGCCTCAAGACTGGGAGCCATGGCAATGCATTCAACTGCAGAAAAGGATGCGTTTCTATTAGAAGTCTGGTCATGTGGATTTTGGAATAACGGCTCCAGTTGCACAGTCAGTTCTGTGCAAATATCTGGGAAGTCTCAAGTCACCAGGACGAGAAAGACAAATCTGAAAGTGTGGGGTGGCATCTGGTGAAATTTTGGATGGTCTTTGGGGTCTCTTCAGATTTTCTGGTTGCCAGAGGTTTCATTGTTCAGTAGCTGGGTTCACGCTCGGTGCATGAGTTCCCATTTTGTTCTGGTGGAAGCAATGCAGTACAAGATAGTGATTTTGTCTCCTGTACTTGGGCATGGAAAAAGTTTTTGTTACTGACAGCAGCTTCAGGAATATTTGATTATGTTAAGGCAGGATAGAAACCGGTCTTAGAAAGCAAGATTTTGCCCATGTGCTTCAAGAGACATTGAGGAACTGCTTTAGTCAGAAGGGATTGTTTCGTTTGTGGCTCCGAGAGCACAGTGGATGGGCCATATTACATGGGTGTTGGTGGAGGCATGGATCTTGGCTAGAATGATAGGCTGGCCACCAGTTAGCATATTTGTTAAATGATGTGGATAAAGAGGCAACCTTAGAAGCAGCCTCATTTGTTGTATTAGCAGCTTATGCAAGGTTTGGTGACTAGGAATGTATCATAGCAGGCACATTGAGAAGAATTCAGGGGTGATTTTCACCCCCAGAGACCCCTTCCTATGGAGCACAGCACAGTCTCTGGGCACCCTCCCTCCCCTATGCAAGGAAAGAGATTTTCTTTCAGATCACTGGTTTCCCACCCAAATTCAGTGGCAAACCACTCTGAAGCCTAGAGACTGCTCCAGAGATTACATTTAGCCTATTTCCAAGCTGAACACAACCTTTTTGGTGCTTTGTAGCAGCTACGGAGCAACAGAAGGGCCAAACCTGGCCCTTTTGGCACTCCATAGCTGCTATGGATGACTATTTTTAAAGCATTTTAAAAGATGGGAAATGGCAGAGGGTGGGGGGGGGGCTCCCCTGGTGTGGGGCGATAGAGAGCAGAACCCTAGACAGCCCATGGGGCACAGCCTGACACTTCCGCAGCAGCAGCTGTAATTACACAGTCTCGGTCCTGCTTATTCCCTCTTCCAGCTCTTGGTGTTAATCTGGAAACAGGGGCTGACTAGATGACAGCCTGGCAGTTCTCCGTGTGTATAGCAAAATATCAGCCGTATAGTAAAATATCTTTGCTTTCTCTGAAGGCTTAGCTCGCCTTCTTTCATTTGGCTGGAAAAGGCACGCTGTCTTGGGAGCTTGACTTCCTAGACTCCCCACTGTCCTGGCCTGGCTGACCCGAGAATGTAGGAGAGTTCCCAGCATAATTTGATAAGGCTTTGGGAGGATTATTGGGCCTTGGGCTTTCCCCTCCTCTTTAATAGGTTCTTTAGCATTTCTCCTGAGTCTGACTGCCATAAGATTAATGGCATGTCTTTCTTCTTCTCCTTTAAAGCAAATTCAGTTTGTTTTATTACGTGCTAAGTAAGACTCCTGGATTCAGAGGGTGGTGGAGGCCAATTTTCCTCCTACCTATTTCCCTGCTTAAGAGAAACAGTGGGCAGAGAGAGCAGAGACCAGATGGTGAAACTGCTGGCAATCTGCATACAGCACATAGATGCTGGGGAAATGAATTGAATATAGTAGCCTACCCTTTCTTTAAAATCATTTTTAACAAACTCATTAGACGCCCACTCGTTGCATTAGAAAGGGGCTTGGGTTTTGCTAAGTTGTGATGAGAGCCTTGAGAGCTCAGTGGAATGCTCTTCCTAAATGTGCAGAAGAAAAATCCCCACCTAAGTGACTCCAGCTCCTGCCAGCTATATGGAAGGGATGTGGACAGTCTGGGACCTTTGGTAGGAATGCCCAACTACTCATTGGTTGGGAAGTGGGCAGTTTGCTCCAGAAGCATCCCTTGCATGCCTGCTGTTCAGATTTTCCAAGTTTTTGAAGCTCAGATAAGCTGTGTAGGAACTGGAACCACTTCTCCCAAAGTGCAACATTCTGAGGGAGGTGTTTCAGACTCTGAATCTGAACTGGAAGAAGAGGTGGGGTTAGCATGCTTAGCTGAAATGCTGAGGTTAGCATGCTTCTAGATAAGCCAAATGGCTGGTCAGAACCAGACCGCCACTAGTTCCAGCACAGTAGGACAGAGAGGGTCAGCAGAGGAGGCGTGCCCCATGGTCTGACATCCAGTCAAATGAGCCAACCTATTAAGTAATGTCCAGTGTTTCTGCCTTCTGGCACACAAGCAGTGTGAATCTCCCTGAGGGTAGAGCCAACTCTGCTTGGTGCACAGGAGAGGAGGGGAATTCAGTATAGAATCAACTCCTGGTATGGGCAAGAACTGAATCCACAGTGAGAGTATCTTAAGGCAACAGTTGCCTTTGCTAGCAACCTTTATGTTGTTGTTGTTGTTAGTTGCAAAGTTGCATCCAACGCATTGCAACCCCATGGATGACATTCCTTCAAGCTCTCCTGTCCTCCACCATCCCCTGGAGTCCACCTAAGCTCACACTGACTGCTTCAGTGACTCCATCTAGCCACCTTATCCTCTGTCGTCCCTTTCTTCCTTTGCCGTCAATTGTTCCCCTCATCAGGGTCTTCCCCAGGGAGTCCTTCCTTTTCATTAGATGGCCAAAGTATTTGAGTTTCATCTTCAGTATCTGGCCTTCTAAAGAGCAGTCAGGGTTGATCTCTAGGACTGACCGGTTTGATTGCCTTGCGGTCCAAGGGACTCGCAGGAGTCTCCTCCAGCACCACGATTCAAAGGCCTCAATTCTTCAGTGCTCAGCCTTCCTTATGGTCCAGCTTTCACAGCCATGCATTGCAACTGGGAAAACCATAGCCTTGACTTTACACACTTTTGTTGGCAGGGTGATGTCTCTGCTTTTTAGTATGCTGTCTAGATTTGCCATAGCTTTCCTCCTAAGGAGCAAGCGTCTTTTAATTTCTTGGCTGCAGTCACCGTCTGCAGTGATCCTGAAGCCCAGGAAAATCATATCTTTTATCTCTATGCTTCTGTCCATGGGGTTTTCTTGGCAAGGATACTGGAGTGGGTTTCCATTTCCTTCTTCAGTGGATCACCTTTTGTCAGAGCTCTCTGCTATGACCTATCCATCATATTTATATTATAATGACCTTTATATTATTCTCTTTATATCACAAAGCCAGACTTGGCGAGCCAGCTTTAATGTAATGAAGAATATCATTAGAAGTCTCTCCTCATGATCTTCTGGGAAGGGGAAAGGATTGGGGGAGACACTGGTTCCTGACAAACTGTTCCGCTCTGGGAGCCACTGTGAAAAAACATGCTGGTTCCCATTGTTCTTGTTTCCAAATATCGCCATCTGAGCAGCACATCATGACCAAATGTGGTTTACTATGTCAGGCTATAAGCTAACCAGGAATCAGGAGCTGCAGTGATGCCACTGTTTCTTGCCAGGGGCCATCGCCAACCCTCCCAGCAAGTGGTTATCTATCTATCTATCTATCTATCTATCTATCTATCTATCTATCAATCATCTATAGCTTTTCTAACCTGTCTACCACTGATGTCTCGGGATGGCTTACAACAGAAGAACAAGTAAAACAAAATAAGACAAAGCAGAGCATTCAACACCTCAATATGTTAAGACCCAAGTTAAAACCAGCTAGACATTAAAATAATGGGAACATAAAAAGAGTTTTGCCTGGCACTGAAAAGAATAAAGCATCAGTGCCAGGTGAACCTCTTGAAACCTGTTTAATGTCCATGTGTCATAAATGCCTTTGTGTGGTTTTACAACTCTTGCCTGCCATCTCTGCAGCCTGACAAAGCAACCCATGAAGAATCCATGGTTTAAATGACCCAGAGTCCACAGCCCAAAAACAAACCATTGGGGTAGCCGAGTTTGCATATCACAGCAACCCAGAATTCAACAAACCAGACCAGGGATTAGTGCTGTGTGCAGTCCAGCCCAATGGTGATGCTCTGCTGATGCTCACGCCACTCATTTAACCGGGATAGTCCAATGAAAGTGCCTTTTTTTCACTGCAACCTACTTACAGAACTGAGGATCCAGTCTGTTACCGAAGATGAGAAGATGAATGGGAAGATGTGCGTTGCTGTGTGTAGGAAAGGAGAAAAGGCATAATAGAATCTTGGAAAGGTACAGTTGGGAATAAAATTTCTTCTTTGTTAGTGGGGAATGGAGCACTCATTTGCCCAATCTGTTTTATGTGATGGCATTTCCCTTTTTCTGCATGATAAACTGCAGCTATCATTTTATTGCTTGATTGTGTCAAATTGTTATCATCGTGGATCTGCTATCATAGATCATTTCTCTTTTATCGCATCAGCTTGCTACCAAATAAAAGGAAGCATGGAGGGATGTGATAAGAAAGAGCAATCCATGATAATGTTTCTAGGAAAATGGCTTTACACAATGAAGCAATCAATTGATTGTTGTTGTTTATCATGTGGTGAAATGTAGATTCTGTCACATAAATGATAATGCGTGTTGGCCCCCAAAAAATAAATGTGCAGATACTAACAATGAAAACATATTCACTCTACAAGGGTCAAATGATAACAGGTTTTGCTTTGCTAGCTTTTCTAGGGTAGATGCAGGATGCAGAGGGTTTGTGCTGAATAATTAAAATCCAATGATCTTTCTAATGATGCACATGTAGCTTCAGCAGAAGGCGGGAGAGAGCTAGAAACTCATCAGTCTGTTTTGATCAACATTTGTGTAGGTCGCACAACAGATTCAGTGAAATGGAACATGATGCAGGGCCCCAACCTTTTAAAGTAGAAACAAGAAACAGGAAGATCAGGCAACAATCGGTCTCCACAAAAAAGAACTTTTGAGATCAAAGTACTAGGTAATAGCACTGCATTATCATAATATTATTTATTAAATAAATGCATTGCTTTCCACCACAACAAGCTCTCTCACACACATGCCAATTCAAAAATCCAGTATTAATAATACAAAATATAACCTGTAATCAGCAGAATAAGCCAAATAAAAATGACATCACAAGAGCAATCCAAAAACAATAGAATAGGAAAAGTGATTCTCCACGATACACAGATTTCCACCCAGCTCCTCACCACCTAGGAGAAGCCGCCAACAATAAGTCCATAACTAAAGTCCATATGCCTGAGAAAGTAAGTGCGTCAAAAAGATGACAAAGGCAGCACCAAACAGAGACATGCTTATTTTCCTAGGTATTTACACATTAGTTATGGCCCGGTGCAACTTTCTAGAAGGAGAGGATTTCAGAAACAAGCATCAGCTTTATGAGGCAGCTGGGTTGGGAAATCACTGGACATATATATACATAGGAAGCTGCTGTTAAACCACCTTCATCAGACCCTGTTGTACCTGCTCTGACTGGCAGCAGGCTCCAGGGATTTGGGCAGAGATCTTTTCCATTAGCTGCTATCTGGTCATTTGAACTGGAGATGCCAGAGATGAGCATACAAAGCAAACCTTTTGCCACCAAGTGTCCCTGAAAGGCTCTGCTTTATGCATTCTGCTTAGATTTGCCACACCTGGTCATCTGATGTAGAGAGAGGAATGGAATGTTTGAAATACATAGGTTGGGATGAGGAACTTTAGCTTGGGGTCCTAATTCAGGCCACCTGCCTTCTGAAGTTTCCCAGAGACCAGATACCCCTTCTACCTTCTCTCCCTAGTCCCTGATCCTTTGCTGGCTCCCTGGCTATTGTGCAGTTTTTCCCCATTCTGAAAGGTGGAAATGCCTCTCCTAAGGGAGCCGGGGGTCAGACTAGATGGCCCAGGAGATCCCTTCTGACTCACTCTGTTTCTATGTTTCTTTCTAGGGCTTAGCTGCTGGCAGTAAAAATACTGAGGCTTAAAATAGGCTAGTGCTTATGGTATTTGGCTTCATCCCTTTTCCCTTTGCTTTTCCCCCTTTTGCTGTCTGGCCCACCCTCCACTGAAATGCGGCCCCCAGGAATTTCTCTGAAATGGAATTTGGATCTTGGACTAAAAAGGGTTCAGCACCCCTCAGAGGAGGATGCGCTTCTCTGTTGCATGCAATTGCTTTTAGTCCTTGCATATGTAGGTTAGCCATCATTAACCATTCAGCGTGTCCCAGAGGCACAATAGCAGACAATGGGCCCTCCCCACAAACAGCCACAATGCTACTTTTGAAAGCATGGTTGGAATTCTAACTATAATCCTTCTGATGTTTTCATTTTAAGATGAACATTCACCAGCCTGCTAAAGGGTGTGATGTTAAATGACCCTTACTCTTACCAGCAATATATTGATTTGCTCTGCTGGAAAGAAGGGCTGTCAAAAAATTAGGCCCACAATTATATATCTACTCAATGAAAGAACTCTTTGTATATTTTTTTAATGTCTGATACAGTTCTATTAAGCCCTGCTCTTGCCAGGAGGAATAATATGCCAGTGTAATCTTTTGTCAACATACTAATTTTCATTTTTATTTTAGGAAAGGGTAGTGCAGATGTTCTTTTTGCTGAGAATTATGTAGCTCTGGATTTCCAAGTCTATTTTTTTTGATTGATGGAGTAAAATCCAAAAATGGAATGCTTGAGTTCAGGGACAGTTTAGACCAGAGCTGGGTAGAGGTTAGGTCTGGATCTACTGATAAGATCCTTGGGTGATTTGGAAAAAATCAGCAAGGAGTCTGACTGCCAACGAATTAATAAAAGCCATAATCAAACAACTCGGCCCCTTCCAGTATTTCTATTATACTGCTGAAAGGAAACCTTGGGGTAACTAAAAATGAATTTTTGAGTGGAAGGTGTAGGAACACCATTCTCTTCCAATACTCAGAACAAATTCCAGGTCTGTTGGGAATGAAAGGGGCAGTTATCCTTGGCAGGTGTCCCCATGTCAGGCAGATTTAGAGTTGTTGGATGGGGAGGGGTCCTGGGAACCAGAATCCTCAGACACTGAAATGGAAGAAGGGGAGTGGGATAGTGAGGAGGTGGCATAGGAGAAGAACTCCTGCAGCCAGCCGAGCCTGGTACAACTCTTGACCTCATGATGTGACGTTGGGAGAAACGGATCAACTAAATGGAGGGCTGATTGACAGATAGAGAAAAGGCTTGCCTGTCTCCAGAAGGGCCCTTCCAGAGGGAGGGGGTCCAGAGGCATTCATTAATTAATTCATTCATTCATTCATTCATTCATTTATTGAAACATTTCTGTGCCGCCCCTTGCCGAAGCCTTGGGGCGGCTCACAGCATAGAATAAAATACACAATAAATTAAGACAATAACAATTAAAATATATACATTAGAATAAAATAAGCTGCCCTGGCCAAATAAAATTCAATAGTATTAACATTTAAAATGCTGCTTAAATAAAAAGGTCTTCGCCTGGCGCCGAAAAACAAATAACGACGGCGCCAGGCGGACCTCTCTGGGGAGCGCATTCCATAACTTAGGCGCCACCGCTGAGAAAGCCCTCCTCCAAGTAACCACCCTCCTAATTTCTTTCACTGAGGGCTCCCTGAGGAGGGCCTCTCCCGCTGATCTCAGGGGGCGGCTGGGCATATATGGATGTAAGCGCTCCTCAGAAGGAGGATCTCTCAGAAGTAGATTGGGTTCAACAAACTGCTCTGTGCATGCTCAGAGACTCATTCTTTGTTGATTGTGTTCTCTGGAAATGCCCTGGAGAATAAGGAGCTTTTGCCAAAGAATGGTCTATTGGTTTAGAAGTACAAAGGGGGAAACCTAGACCTGGTCTCAGAATTCATTTGTTCCAAGTCTGTTGCTGGTTGGTAGATCTTGGGGTTCTAGTTAAAAAGGAAAAAATAGATCCTACAAGCCTGGTTCCTAAAACTACACATGAGATGTAGCAACAATTAAGATCTCTTCTCCTACTAGCAGGTTGGACAGCTGTAGAAATGATAGAAACAGCACATGGGACAGTAGAACAGTCTACACAAATGTTTTTGGAAGATAGCAAAAGCTTTTAGCCCAGGTCTTGAAATGTTTCCTTGGAAGTCAGTCTTATGGCATTGACAGAAGCTTGCACCTAACTGAGTGCACCGAGGGTTGCAACCTAGGAAATGCTTTGGGGTGGAAGTGAAGACAAAGTGCCCTTCTGCGGAAGAACATCCCATGCTTGCAGGCAAAACAAATCATATTATTGAAGGACCAGCTTGAGCCAAATGATCCTCCTTACTTCAGGAATCCTTCTAATTTGCTAGCTGTTTAGATCAGTTACTTCAACATGCACAAGGGACAAGTCTTTCTTGCTGGTGACTCCTCAGTTGTAGAATTCCCTTCCTATAGGATCGGATTATGGCAGGCTTTGAAGTAGACTGCAAAGACATTTCTCTTTATCGCTGCCTTGAACTACGAGCATAAAGAGTTGTGTGCTACAGAAGTGCTTTCTAACATTAGATGTTGCCTGTCGCATCTATTACTTCTTGTGCACATCGTTACAATATAATAAAAATAACACATAGCCATTAAACAGAGCAATCAGTTCAGCAGAAGAAAAACAGGCTGACTCATAAAAAGAAAAAAACCCACTTCTAAACATAAAGAACAATATTTCCTCTAAAAGAATGAACTTAACCGTAGCACAGGAAAGATGAATTCCTCTTCACCACTTGAAAGGCATTATAGAAAGTGACTAAGGATGAATAGCAACTGTTTTGCCAAATGGTACCTTGCCATCCTAAGCATGTGATAACTTGGTAGGCCAATAATTTTCTGCCGAAGGGTGAGAAGATTTTTTGCTATATCTCTTCCCTGCTTTTCTCCTGCCAGGATTTTACAAGCAACCAGTTTACCAAGAAAGTGCAAGCAGGCTGCCTAAGGTGAACAGAAAGAACCATTTACGGAATGGCAATTCACCATTTGGTGCCTGTCTGTATGTACCCAATATGGCATGATATACGAATGGCTGCCACCCAGAATGGCGGCAGTGTGTGCTATTACCACCCTACCAAGGCAGCTTACATAGCTCCATTTTATCCTTACAACAACCCTGTGAGGTAGGCTAGGCTGAGAGTCTGTGACCGGCCCTAAGTCACTTAGCTCCATGGCTGAACATGGCTGAACCCAGATTGCCTGAATCCCAGCCTCTCACTCTTAACCACTACTCCATGTTGGTCCATGGGCATGATCACAATAGGGAATTTAACTCTAATCTCCCAGGTCCCCAGTCCAGTACTCTAACTATCACACCTGCACTCTCTCACGAGTTTTTTTTTTTAACAAACCACATGCTTCCGTGTGTGTTCCCTTTGGTTCAGAGTAACAAAAAGCGGACAGACATACTTGTATACCTGTTTTGCTGTTTCAGAGTTGTCATATTATTATAGGATTGGACGGCTTGCTCATGAAGCTTCCTGTCAAAAATAAGAATGAGACTCAGAGACATGCTTCCTCTGGGGAAGAAAACCGTTCAAGTTCATGTTATATTCTTAAATGTGTATATGACTTTTCACAAATGTACGCCGTCTATTTATTCTGTCTTAGGGGGTTCTCCCTGGAGAGACAAGGTAATTTTCTTCATTCCAGTGGTGCTTATGGCAAGAGCTAGTACATTTATATTGAAAATCTGATGTGTCCCACCTTATTACAGTTTCTGATTTGCCTCATGCAGCTGAGATCTTGCATATTATGTTAAAAACAATATGTAGTAAAATGCTGAAGATGTAATTACTTGGAAAGGGAAAAATGTCAGCTGTTGGCATTTTGATCTGCTCTCTTATAAGCATAGTGTTCCATCATTATTCTCATCACCTAACGAACGCAAGATGCTGCTCCTGGCAGGCCCAGATACACACATGATATCGTAATAATCAGTCTACAGAACTCTCCCTGGGGTGGTTGGAAACACAAATGCAAAACACTGCTT